GACCGCTTTTGGCCATGAACACAGCCATCATCTGCTTTGCCATGCTGCGCTCTCATCGGAATTTCCGAAGCCATGACCCACCAATCGGTTTCCACCAAACCCATTGTTGCTTGGTCTCTAGGTAGAACCTATACAAACAAGTCTCATCACCAATGATGATCTCCCAAATTGCATTGGAATGCCCACCATCAAATCCGGCAGGCAGGGTGCGGCACCTGAACTGCTTTGTGTTCGTCACTAATCTGATAGAATATGCACCGAGCGCAAACCTTTCTGAACATGTTTAGAATAGATTACAGTTCGTGTTTTCCTTACCCCGACATCGGCCACGACTGAATTCTGCAAATCACTCAAACAGTGCTCCTTGAAGGCGCATCATCACCAAAGGCAGCTCGCAAACGATCAACACTCTGCTACTGCCTCTGCTGCAAATCACATTTGAAGTCACAGAAAATCGTTGCCCCCCAGTGCCATCGACTGAGTTTCATCCTCGCAGTTCGAGTACAGGGACTCTTATGATTTGTGAGCTGTGCTCGGCTGTTGATGGTTGGTTCTCTGAGTTGCAATCGCTGAACATATTTACAACACCTTACAGTTCATTTTTCCTTGCCCGGTCATTTGCAGCTCGTATCTGAACTACGTACCTGGAAACAATTCGCTCAGCTATCGTATGGTGGATTTCATTGTGTGCAGAGAAAATGATGCCTAAATCAAAACATCAAGGAGGACCTAGACAGCTGTTTTGACTTGGTTGGGTTTCATCAGCAGCTCGAATCCATCAATCCAACTGAGAATAGAACGCAAACATACTACCTACTTGATCACCGGACACCTGCTGATCGTGTGATCACTACACGGCGAATGTCACTATATAATAAAATAAACTCTTCCCTTGTCCTTTGGCCCGATCAGTTGATATTCACACTTGAACCGGCATTTGATGATAGTCGGTGCAATGTTTGTATACAGAATAAATTGTTAAAGACATCAACAAAAATTGAGGACCAAGTGGCGAGCCGCTGGTTAAGTAGCCGTTTACTCGACCCTACTCTCAATTTAACTGAAACATTGATGGATTCATTTTAAATTTGAAGGAAATTTTGGAACTCCAGGGAATCTCAACAATTGTTTACGGTTTATCTGTCTTATATTATTCATCTGATATATTGATTTGTCTTACTCCTTATGCAAGGAGATTGTGAAAAATTTCCTTGAAATCATCTCCGGATGGACAAATGACTCACCAATAATTCTGACATCAAACCACGGTCCATTGTCCCCTTGCACTTGAATGGGCTCCTCATTGACCGACACTACGGCCATATGGTAGATGGCTTCAAATTCCCGGATTCCACTTGTTGTGTTGATCTTCAGAATGTCCATGCTGGATTTGGATATCACACTCAGGACACCGCGATTGTAGGTGGCTTCTTGAATCTGCACCCATTGGTTGTCACTCACTGAAATGGATAATGCACAGTTAAAATACTGGCGTGGTAACATTGATTTTTGTTTCACACGGCAGTCAGCGTAGGGTGCAAATGGTTTCACTAGTGTTCCACCGAAATCGAAATACCGTAACTCATTGATTGCGAAATTCGATTTGGCTGATTTGACAGAAGCTTGATGGTCCGGCTTTGGTTGATGATATTGAGCGACTATCTCGTTTGATTGCGATGAGATCCCACAGAATACAATGCCTTAACAACCACGGGGTAGGAGTGCAATGTTGATATGCAACGTGCGTGTATGACTTAAACGAGATTCATACTGGAGTGAAATTTCATCTGTTTAATATGTTCGAATGTTATGGGAAGAGGGTAAATTACAATTGTAATTTTACCAGTGTCATCAATATTTTCACAAAACGTTCACCTACCGTATGGTCTGATGGGTTCGGTAAAGGCACCTTTCTGTTCGTCTTTAACCGTACGGATAGCAATGTAACAATCGTCACATCGAACATTTCGCGTTACTCGTTCGCCCGGTGCCAATTCAACCAGCTGATAAACTTGCGTGTCGATGAGAAAAATCACTGTGTATCCGGTGGCACCAGGGATATCCGCAAACTCGAGCTTCAGCTCACTTTTGGCTCTGGTCAATTCGGTTTTTGTCAGTATTGGGGCAGTGAGTCCTGTGGACGTTTGTCAAAAAATTCTTTTGATTCGAATGTCAAACTTGTGAGTCATACGTGTTGAATGTTCTTGGAATACAGCAGGCAATTACAATCACTAACTTATGTAGATACGTAGATGTTCATCAATCGATCTCATTTCAGGTTCATGAAGCATTCATATGATAGCTTTTCACTGTGGAATCCGGGCGCGAGTGAAACATCAGTTAAGGAAAATGTTTTTAAATGCACTCGGAAATAACTGATCAGAACACGACATTCAACCCAAGAATAATGAGGTAAACAAGCTCGTTTTCAGAGATTCGTAACCATGCCAATATATATATATATATATATATATCACTACTTGGGAGTAAAATTGTCTTGGAGAAATTTAAACTAAATAAAATCACAGATTACTAGAAACAACTCCATCCGGACCAACGGACAAAACGTTCGAGGCATACAAGCTTCGTGTGTTGTTCACGTCTAAGTGTTTGTGACTGAAGCACAGAGTTACAGACTCTGCGGTCTCATTCTGTGTCCACTCATTTACTTGTTCCTGTGGAACAAAGGAACTGGGCCGCACGGCCAAGCGAGTGTCCGAACGGATTCGTGAACACCACTCTGGGTGGCTGAACAGCGGAACGATTAAGTCACTCATCAGTGCAGTGGTTTCACACCAAACTAAAACAAATCACACTGTGGGTTAGTCTGAGGTTTTACGACCTCTGTGTAAATGAGTGGACGGTTATCGCGGCAGGTTCGCTATCAGATGCGGGCTACAGCAGAAGCGGTGTTAAAATTACAATGAATTACCAATACCACTCATTTCTAACTCTGTGAGCTAATGCATTTCTGAACTGGAAAATGTCTAACCAGTTAAGAGGGTATAGGCAGATCCTTAATGCACACGAAATGTGTTTCAATTTTCACGGTTGATATTCCGTTAAATCAACGTTGTGGTCATGAGAACTCTGTGAGATCGGATTTCGTATGGCACATGTATTCAAGGCTGCGTCGAACCTCAGTAAGAAACCCAAGAAAGGAGCGAGCGAAGCTTGAACGAAGATTTTACCTAGCATTTTGGAATTGGGAAGGCTTTGGGTTATTGATTTGAAATCAGTGTTTCTCAATTAGACAGACTTTCGGTCACTGTTTACAAAACTAATGACATTCACCGCAACGACGGACTGACTGCAACGCTAGACAAAACGTACATTATAAACACACCTGGAGTGTATTCTGACCCGGTTAAGTAGGTGAGTAAGCACGCAGTGAACTAAGGAGTACGTTTATTCCAGTAAGCACACATGTAACCGGAGCAGGAGCGGGTAACACGTGCGCAGCTGGCAGGCAGGCCAACAAACGGCTCAAGCGTCACCCGACATCCGAATACAGTAAAGCCGGAATTCAAACAGTCCGTTGATAAGTCAGCGCGAACAGTCCGATACTAACACCTGATTGGCTAAAGCCGATCCATATTATGATAGAGTCAGTCCGCATTGTGTGAGTGCGTGCGTGTGGCAACAGGCAGCATGCGGCCACAGGCAAGCGCGACAAACGTATCACTCAATTGTTGGCCAGAACAGACGGCTCAACGACTTTATCTCATTCACTTCGTTACAAAAAGACAGGCTAAAGGGGAAAAATTCGGACACTGTTAGCAAAATACGCGCATCAGATATTTTCCTTGAAACGATGAAAAGACTGGTTCAACATTTCTACCCGTGAGAACAGGGCTACCCAAACTTCTTCGGTAAATAGTGCTGCATTAAGTGTCCAAATGTATCGGATTGTCTGATGCACCGTGAACACAAATCAATAAATGGGTTTTTTATTGCAAATTTAGCAGGTCAAATTCAGGTATGCCGACAATTGGAGTTTAGAAATAATTGCATACAAGACAGGCCATGACCTCCGGTAATTTGTGCTCGGCCGTGGTAAAGAAGAAGATATTTTACGGCCGGAGGCCCTATCTAGTACATCTGTGAAAAACCTGAATTCTCGGATGTGGTGTCTCTACAAGATAATCATTTGAGAATACACAGGAACCTGAAAACAAAGTTTCGATTCTCTTGGGAGAACTAACTATTGAAGGCCTCCTTGAATTATCTGAAATATCCTTCTTTCATAAGGCTTTCTGTTTTGATTTATCCCAGCAATCACCGAAAGATTAAATGTATCTGTCAAACTTCTTTGCTGTGAAGTCCTTGCAAAATAAGAACAAACAGCGAAGCACGATTAAATTGAAGATCAAATTGTGAACCGCATAGTCTACACTGAAGTGTAATGTGTTCAAACTGAATCGATGGAAACGGGAACAATGAACTGCTCAGTTTATAAATTGAACTCAAATCGACATCACTCCTCATTGTATTTTTGTTATGCCAGGTCCGTTCAGTGCATATTACTCAGAATATGCTCAGAATTGGATGGTCGTATTTGAATGGGAGGTTTTCTGATTGATTAAGATAAGTTGAGAGGTAACGGAATTTGGTGCGTTGAACAGTATGGATGAAGTGTATGGCAAACGCTTTCCTGGCGAATGGGCATGCATCGTGCAAAGTAACCTCGAACTCACCGTCATTCATGAGGATTGGGTTCATCTGTGAAGAGAACACCGATACACTGTCATCATAAAATCGTAATTGTACATAGCATTCTGGGCAAGGTTCGACTGATGTAAAGCAGCCATTCCCAGGATACATTTCATTTGTATTTCGTATTTCTCCATCAATGTGCCACATTACTTCAATTCTTGGATTCCAGATCAGCGACTCTGACGAGAGTTGAATAAATAGTTGATTCCTCGAATCAATAGAAACCTCGGTGAAACTGAGAATTGGTTTCCACGCATCAATACCGACTGAAAACAAAATGTATTTTAACAGTCACACGAAAAGCAGTGAATGTATTGCAGTTAATTCACAACATTCAGCGTACATTTATACTGTCATCAAATGAAGGGAAACGTTTGCTTCGTCAGCTGCTCATCGTACTATGGGGTAAAGATAAAAACCAAATTGCTCTTAAAGAACATATAATCCAGTACCCCGGTCGTAAGAAAAATGTGCCGCTTTTTCCAAGTGACGTAAGTAATTCCACTGCTTCGGTGGTTTGAGTCACTGTCAGCTAAATGTTTTGCTTTTGGTTTGAACATTCTAACTTACACCCATTGACGGTACTAACTAAACCCGCAGTCAGCCGGATCAATATCTGTTCTGTATTTTCGTTGGGCCTGGTGCGTTCCGTAGCTGGGATAGGATGTCTATAGGGTGCTTTGGAAGTATAATGAGCAGTTGTTTATCGTGAGTATGACGTGAATATCTTCTACCGTTCTTCATCTAATGATATGTTTTGAATATACTCCAGAAGGGGTTAGTTCACATATTCGCAACAGACGCCTTTCATAGGGCGAATCTGAGCCTCGGGTCCTGGGTGAGAGTGTTGTTGCACATNCTGGGTGAGAGTGTTGTTGCACATCACTGCGGCTTGGGTAAAACGCAGCACTGTTTAAACGAACAAAACGACTTGTGGATTGGCTGTTATACAACAAAACAAATTCGAACTGCATGTGATTCAAGGAAACATTTCCCATCCAGGATTTGGATCACGGATGACATTCAATGGAGCAGAGGATCACACCCGTGTGTGTAGAAATCTCACAGATTTGACATGGAAGGACAACGGTGCACAGTTAACTAAATCATTTTTGGTTGTCTCCATTGGACAAATATTTTTTCTGTGATGCGCTGAGGCAGCCCCAGAACAACAATGAATTTTGTTTTTGATTTTACCGCATAATTTGATAAAGAACCAATAACTTCTACTACACTCCAACCATCACCCGTCCGCACCAGTTTAACGGCAAACTGAGTCAAACACAGTGAAATCAAGGTACAAAAATAGCCGGTAGAATAGAGCACATATATCAACAAGCGGATATAAGCAGAACACTACTACTTCACACGCACTGATGATATAATCTCAACTAGTGGTGAAACGTTTGGAAAAACAAATGTCAAGTTTGGGGCGATTTCGGGACTCGGAACTCCTACAATTCCATCGATTCACACTCCAGTCGAAAGTGAAACTCAAGTTCTGTGATATTTCCTGGATAGAATAATACGTTTATTGACTGTAAGCAAAAGATGGCAAAGAAAAATTGATTTATGAGTGCTTTTATACGGTATCTGACTTGATATGTGATCATGCGTCTTGATGCCCCAATATGAACTAAGCACCCAATGAGAAGTGGGTGCAAATTACCGGGATGCATTCAACGAAGTACAGTGACGGAAGGATAAGATCCTAACTCGAGACTCAAATGAAAACGTCGGTTATTGAATGCATTTAGAGTCCGGTTCATGATGGGAACTGGACAGCAATTTCCGTTTTTTCCCGGGCTCATCAGCATTGCACCGGTTTCGATGAACCACCGGGCCCGGATGGCGATCCTTTTGATTAGCTACTCCGGGAAAGGTTCCGTGCTGATGGCTACACTACGCCTCCGTGGGGAAGAGGCATGTAGTAAATGAGGCGATGCTGGTTATGTCTCTCTTGTTCATAATAATGATGCTCTTGTAGTGTTTTAGATTTGTATTGACAGAGGCCACGAAATAGTTTTGGAAGTGCCAAGTGTCTGCAGTCACGGTGCCTCATGCAAAGGATGATGTTTTCAGGTTCCACTATGGGCTCTTTGATCGCGGGCGATTGGTTCAGTGTTTTACCGCAATACAAACCTATTAGTCTCTTTTTATGGCTAATCCAAATCAGTTAAGTGTTCATTGGCCCTATTTGATAATTCGGATAGGGAATACCACTCTACGTATTGTCGGTTTTTATCAAAGTGTCGTATACGAACTGAATAGAATGTTGGATATTTGATACAATTTTCTGGAACCAGTTCACTATAGAGCATAAGGCACTTTCGGTTCGGTGCTATAATTTAACAGGCTGATTAACATCACTGACTGGTAGAATTCTTCAAGTTCAAACGTTGATTGTGGACTAGCGTAACACTTGAGGTTGCATGGAGTACGGACGTGATCGAAAGCCAAATATACAAGATCTGAGATGGAGTTTGTTAAGGTTGAGGAAAATAATAAAGTGCAATCGCTCTGTCTACTCTGAACAAAAAAATGATACCTCTGGCTCTCTCGTCGGTGCTAAACGCACGCACGATCTATGACGTCAAAGCTGAACTGTAGCGATGACTTTGTGGTTTGTGCCGGCTGAACACAGATCAGCATGTTTTTTACAACACTTTAACCAAGGACAGTGCCATTGCATATTTTCAACCCTTTTGAGGTTCACCAAAGTGAATTCGAAAACATTGAGATACTTTTGTGCCCAAAGTAAATAAAATAATTCACAAAATATGTTCAAATGTGGTATAAATTCTACGCTACTCACCAACAGTATTACTGACCACAAATAGGGTGAAGTAAAACGCTGCGCTGGACATTTTTGAGTACAAATGGGCGGAAGTTGGTATGTTCAGAACGACGGATGCACAAAACGGTGACCCTTTAACTATATGCATTTATAATCCCTCACTGTACTTTCAGCCAAATACAACAAATTCTTCCGTATGTATGCACGCGTGCATGAATGTGTGTGTGTGTGTGTTAGGTCGGGATTGGATGATCTGTGCTATAGGCGCATACATCGGTGTGGGCGAGGAGAGTTCGCGCGCTGGTACGATGGAACCTGGAGTTGTTATTTACCGCTCAGTCCGAAATTATGGGTCACACTTGACCCTGAATCATGCTACGGTTCCGTAGGAGTTTTGACTCAGATGTGAATAGCAAAGTGAAACCGAAACTCGCGGTCGATGTGTGCGTGGTTGTGTGTGTGTGTGTGTGTGTTGGTTGCAGACATTTGGCAGTCAGACTACGCAACAGAATCGCACTGATGATCAGAGGTGTCATCAGAAACGTGCTCTGCTTGAGGTATTCGGATATGTTTTATATTACTTATTATCTAGATTGGCAGATAGTTAAATATAATTTCAACAATGCATATGCTTGAATGTTGGGAGGGAAGGAGGTATCGAGGGGAGCATACAAGATTTCTTCAC